TTTTTTTTTTTTTTGGCTGTGGATGCCCTTCAGGACGGCCTTCTTGGCCTTTAGTGCCTTTGCTTTGGCTTCAGTCTCGGGAGGGGCAGGGGCTTCCTTCTTCGCTTTCGGTGCCATCTTCGTCGACTATTAGGCTTACTTTGAGTGAAAAGTCCAAGTCAGTAGTTTCAAACATTTGAGAAGAGTAAGGTAAATGCTGTTCTTAAAATTCATTTTTGTCCAGTAGTTATTGTGTACTTTTAGGGTGTCCCTGGGTGGCATAAGACTTTGTGTTTTACTGCTAATGAAAAGTTGAGGCTTCAGAGACTCCCTAGAAGCACCTTGGGAGAAAGGTCTGGTGATACTCTGCTTTAGAAAAGTCCCAGCATGGAAAACCCTGCAACGTGCAGTTCACCTCTGTGCACGTGGAGGGAGCTGCTGTGAGTGGAAATGGACACAATGGCAAATCATTATATTTTATGCACTTTTCTTTTATAGGGCACAAGCCTGTTTTTGCTGTTAGATGCCAATGAATCAGTTCCAACACATAGTGACCCCCTGGTCAACAGGAGAGAGCACAGTGGCCAGGTCCTACGGGCCATCCTCACAAACACTGCTGGGCTTGGGCTTACTGTTCAGCCACTGTCAATCCCCCTCATTGAAGGTAGTCTTCCTCACCAGCCCTCCACTTCAACATGATGTTTCCCCCAGGGATTTATCCATCCTGGTAACATCCCCCAAATCGATCTACATGTGGACAATCACTGAGAAGCGTGACACGCATCCCTTTTCTGAGGACGGAGAGCTAAGGCAGCAGAGACAATTTTTGATGTGGGACATGTAATTCTTCCACTGGTCTAGTGATAAGAAGCAGCACTGCAATTCCAAAGGCACATGGTTCAAATCCACCAGCTGCTCCGTGGGAGAAGGGTCTAGTCTCCTCCCACGTAATTTACTGCCTCCGAAAACCCACAGGAGGGTCAGCCATGGGTCAGTTCTGACTTGATGATGGATGACAGCAACCATTAATGGAAGGCCTGGATTTGGAAAGAACTGAACAAAAAGAGTGGTTGATATGAAAAGAAATCCTAGAATAAGAATTGTTTGTTTTGTTAGGTGTCATGGGACTGACTGAAACTCATGTCGCCTCTGTGTATAACAGACCCTTGCCTGACTCTTCACCTTCCTTACAGTGTCCCCTGGATCTAAGCTCGTTGTTCCATTCACCGTGTTAATCCATCTCACCGAGGACCTTCATCTCCCTCAACTTTTCCAAGTGTGAGGTCTCTGACTGTCCCTCCTGATAAAGTGCCAAAAGTATCTGAGGTGAAGGAGTTTCTAAGGACTACCCTGGCTGCCCTTCTCTCGATATAGATTTGTTTATTCTTTGGGTAATCCTTGACTTATTAAATATTTTTCCAATACAACTCAAAGGCATACAGTCTTCCTTATTCATTGCCCAACTCATACATGCATATGAAATAATTAATTAGGTCAGGGAAGCCTTATCCTTTAAATTAGCATTGTTGCTTTTTATTATTTTAAAGAGATCCTTGGCCATGGCTTTGCCCAATGCAGTACGTCTTGACTTCTCATCTTCTGCTGCCACGGGTGTTGATTGAAGCTCAACAAGTGAAGTGAAATCCTTGAGAAGGTCACTCTTTTCTTCCTTTATCTTGAAGCTGCTTGTTGGTTCAGTTGGGAAGCTTTGTGTTCTCTTTGTGTTGGGGTGTAATCTGTGTTTAAAGTCTTCTTTGATCGCCTTCAGTACGCAGCTTAAGTCCGCTTCCTGCTTAACAAGCACATTGTGTTATTTGCATATTGCAGGTTGGCAAGGATTCTTCCTCCAATCCTGATGTCACGGTCTTTTTCGTGTGGTTCAGTTTTTCACATTATTTGCTCCGCACACTTCTGGAGAAGAACGCAACCCTGGGGAACACCTTTCCTGATTTTAACCCATGCAATGTTTCATTATTCAGTTTGCAGAACTGCTTCTTGATTCATGGAAAGGACATCCTACTTGGTAAAGCAGGTCAGAGAACAAAAAGAAATCCCTCCATAAAATGGGTTAACACAATGGCTGCAGTAAAACATGGGAACAGTGTTGAGGATGGCACGGCACCAGCGAGTGCTTCCTTCTGTCCACAGAGCACTGACATGAGTTGGAACTGACTCTTGGCCAACTAACAGCTACCATCGCACAACCACCATCACATGGCAACAGTGGCTGCATCAGTTTCCTGATCTGCTGGTTCCTTGTTCCTACTGTGCACTCGTCTATCTGAAAACAGACCTTTATTTCCTTCAAGTCAAGAACACTCCCCTAAGTGTCATGGTTATAGAGACTTAACAAATTCACAAGTGAATATAAAGGGATCAGAGAATATACAAACTTCTAAGAAAAGGCTTAATCAGAAAGGACACTAGATAGAAGATGTGAGAGTATTGTGTCCCTAGTTTGGGTATAAACACTCAATGATTGTCATCTGAGAGCTGGACAATGACTAAGGGTGACAGAACAAGAATTGATGCCTTTGAGCTGTGGTGTTGGAGAAGAGTACTGAATAGCCCATGAACCGCCAAGAGAACAAACAGATATGTCCTGGAGAAGGTGCAGCCAGAGTGCTCCTTGGAGGCAAAGATGATGAAGCTTTGTCTCATATATTTTGGCCATGTTTCTAGGAGAGGTTATTCCTTGGAGAGGAACACCATGGTTAGAAATGTAGAGAGGCAGCAAAAGAGAGGAGGACCCTCAACCAGGTGGGTTGGCATGGTGACTGTGGCAATGGGCTTGAGTATGTCAGGAATTGTGAGGATGGCAGGGATAGGATAGTCTTCAGAGCAGTTGTTCGTGGAGTCGCTATGAGTGGTACTTGACTCGATGGCACCTAACGACAGCAGCAGTAATTGTTGTCAAAATATATGATTGTATAAAGGGAACATGAACAATTATTATTCCAAAGAAACTGTCAGGAATAAAAGGAACTGATGTTTTGATACATCTTTTTTTTCTTCTTTAAATAGTGTCAATTGGTTTGCATTCTGATTCATCTTTGATGACACTGTGTGTCTGAGCCCTTTGCTAATCTTGGTTTAGCAAGAGACTAGCGCCTACTAACAGTTTCTAGCAGATATGTTCCAAACACCCATATTCCTTTCAGAACACTCTTAAGCTTTAAATGGTAAAGCAAGTGAGACCTGGGCAATACCCAAGGAAGGAAGGGTAGCTACTTCCACCCCTCACCCCCTAAACCTATCTGTCTCTCACCATGGGGCAGAAAAGTGGCAGCCAGAATGGAAAGTCCCTGTATGAACATGAACAACAACTGGCTTGTTCGACGACCCATGTAATTCAGTGCCGCAAAGCCGACGTATCTACCGAGAAAGGTGACCACTCCGAAGAGAATCTGGAACAGGTAGACAGTGCTCCCCCAGTGCTGCAAGTGGAGAGCCAGGCCAAAGAAGCATATTTGGTTTGCAAATCTGCAGTGAGAAAGGAAAGAAAGACACGGTCCATAAACTTATAGCCCGGATGATAGTCCTTCAGGCCCACAGGTGAGCCCTACAAGGACAGTCCTGTTGGGTTAGACAGTCAGAGGTGAATGTTTATTTTTTTGTTTTGTTTTGTTTTTTTAAAAAAGCCCCATTCTGTTTTGCAAAACTTTTGAAGCATAGAACCTTGGAGTAAATCGGTGGATTAGAGGGAAGGGAGTTTAGACTCACTTCATCAAGGACCCCAGGAAATAAAGACAACAGATACAAATGTGAATTCCAGAATCTTGAGTTTAAGAAGAAAAGACAGAGAAGTATTTAAAACATCATCTGAAAGGAGAAATGGCATGTGAGCTTCCAATAAGAAGGGAGGACCACAGATTAGTAAAAAGCAGGGCAGCGCAGCCGTTCTGAACAGCTGTCTTGGTGTGAGGACCAGGCCCTGTGGCAGAATTCACACGTGTGATCTCTTCCTGTGATTTCTTTCCCTTTGTCTCCCCCTAGATCAGGAGAGTGGCTTCCTCCTTCAGCACCTCCACTACCGACTAGGTGGTCAGCAGAGTTCTGAGGTCTACGTCAGCTCTGCCCAAGCCCAGCCCCTGTCATTGTGTCGCTGGCCCTGGGAGCATGCACGTAGCTCTATATCCGGGGACTCCTTCCAAAAGCCTGCAGACTCAGCTGAGCCTGGCCTGTAGTCATCCGCTGGATTAGCAGAGTCACCACCTCTGGCTGGGCCCCCTGCCTTTGCCAGGGCACCCTTTCCTATGCAAGGGTGGCTGGAGCTCTGTCCTCACGCTGGCCATTGCTGACTGAGAAACCTGCGTGCACAGATCCCCCACGCTGGCAAAAAAGCGCCATCCCTCGTCAGGTAAACGAACCTTGGTTCCAAAGCCAGCAAAAATTAGTCCCTAGATGATTGCCTCTCCTCCCAACACATCCTGTGCTTGGCTCAGAGAAGACCATGGGCTCTCAGTCGCCTCTCAGATGAGTAAAACCTCTAGCCTCCCTGGAATCCAACACCAGCATTCTGTTGGACTGTAGACATACTGTCCTTAGACAAATGTCTTGTCTTGGCCTATCACAGCTGTTGTTGTTGTTGTTATGTGCCATCGAGTCGTTTCCGACTCATAGCGACCCTATGCACAACAGCTCTAAACCCTGCTCTATCCTGCGCCAACCGC